TGTTCGATAACCAATTTTCCCTATAGAATAAATGGGATTTACAGATAAGTCAACCAAAGGATCTAGATAGAACGGAAGGTAACGAACCATTAAGTAAATGATATTACTGCAAATAACTCAATATTGAAAGAACCGAAAACTTTTAATAGGTCGAACCTTGTCGTTTACGGAACAAATTTATAGTTTTCGTATACCCACGCGCGGCGAGGCTTTGGATGTTGTAGGCCTCGATGATAGATCATTGTTTGTGGTGACAACAAGTCCAGTTGTCTTACATGCCATCGATCAAGAACATCACAAAATTTTGAGCATAGATTTATATGAATATTTCCCATTGCAGAAAGGTATCTTGAGTCAACGACACGCATCTCGGTTTAAAAAAATATGGTGGCACTTATAAAAAAAAAACACTTCTTTTTATGAAGCAACAATTCCCCTGAAGATGTCTATAGTTCAACGCCACGACAATATATGGTATTTGGTACTTCACAACCCAGTTAATAACTCGCTATATACCATTGATTTTCCAATGAAAACTATTGCCGTGTCTTCGGTAGTGGATTGTTCCTTTGTCATGTGTATTATGTGCTGTATGTCCTTGAATCCTGTTACTAAGAAGAATTAATAATGATTTTGCAAGTAGTTGACAGGATTGGGCCTAGCGAATTCAATAATGTTGAAAGATTTTGAGTCCCTCGGAATTTTGGGTAATATAATAAACTAGCGAACATAGCTCTGTTTTGGCGGTTTGGTTAACAGTGCATTGCGTATTTTCATAATCCAGTGTTTTACCAGGTTGAAAGATCATCGATCGCCTTGATTGATTTCAATACAAACACACAATACACCATTGATGTGTCTTTCGGCGGTAATCTACTATCACCTTATTATTATTATTATCATTTATCATAGTTTTCTTATTGACTTTCATTTTGTATTCATATTTAGTGACCCAGTTGTATTTACTGAAACCCGATGTATGGCTTATTAGAGACAGCGTCGAAGGGCAATATTATATGGTTTATTCTGTGCAAAGTGAACATAGAATTAGGTATACACAATATATGCAATGTCTTTGTTCTATATAACTTTCTTGATATGAGCATTTGAAATTATAAACAATACTTTACAGGATTCCAAATACCCTCCAAAAGATTGATGTTCAAGGATTACTAAAAACCATCCCGGAGGAGGTCACGTATATTTCGCGCGATGGGGTGGCTCAACAAAACGTGTATGTTATGTTTCCATAATTTAGTCACCGATCTATTCTCCATAATTTAAATTTCTGCTTTACAGACCTTTTTTTTTTTCTTGTAGGTCATCCGCCAGATTCTTGAGAAACAGGAATGATTCCAATGCAGTATCCATAATTTTGAATTTACCAGATGCACTGATAAATGAAGTTGGTGTCATGCGTGAAAAGGTTGGTGGTGGAAGTGGCAACACGTCAAATAATAATCAATTGGACGTCAAGATTCTTTCGTATATGAGAGATTCGGGGGATGATATGAGCAATTTTCACAAAAACCTCAAAAGTGTTTCATTATTCTTGACGCGTTCCGGGCAACTAGCAACCATTATTCCGCTAGAGGTAAGATTTGGTTTTATCTTTTCTGGTGGAAGTCACTAAAAATGTAGCATTGTTTAAAATTCTATAATAAAGGATGGTAGAAGTGAAGGGTACTTGGAAATATTCAATCCTACTCAAAACACCTTATGGCGAGTGACCATACCATTGGCTATCTCCGCCTCTAACAGTGGCACAGGGTATGTACTGGATATGATTTCTTGACTTTATAAAAAAGAAGACGTATCCAACATATCATGCTTTAATTGGAATCATTAATATTTATTTTATAAAAAGAAGGTTTGATAGGGATGTGGTTATGCTACTGGAATTGCCTAATGGAGATTTGCTAACTATGGACATTAGTGGTATGCATAGCTTTACCTTCAGGATTTTTAATAAAGTAATTCACATTTTCTTCTGAATTTAGGTGTTGCCCGTGTGTGGCAGGTCGACGCTGGGCAACTAATAAAGGCTGCAAATACTTGGAAAAAGTTGGTTGGAAACATAGATCAACACACCTTGTCGATTATATATGAAGATTCGGAGGTTTTGAGAATTTCCGCTCTTACGTCTTTAATCATTTTCCATCATATTTTGCTAACAATTCTGACAAATTAGGGAAGAATTATCTCGCAAACTACGGATGATATAGACAGTCAACGAAAAACGATCGCCGATGGAAGCGGTAGTGGTGAAGGTATTGGAGGAGGTGATGGTAAAGGTGAAGGCGCTGGAGGTGGCGAAGGTGCTGGAGAAGGTGGCGGAGATTCAATGAATTTGGATGGACGACAGCCAACTTTTATCGATGTTTCTAATTTACAAATTGTAAGCAATAGACGCATATTTACATTAATTCCATTTCACCGGTCATCAACTAACAATTTTATATAGAGATCTGAAGCCAAACCACCTCTAGAATTAACAGATGCTCAAAGGTATGTATTAAATAAATTATTTCTAAATTTGATAATTTCATGTTTCTTCTTTTCTAATAGTTTATGTTTTAGAGAATTTCATCAAATGATGGTGAAAAAGAAACTTGAACAAGTTAACATGACTCAAAAAGATTCTGAGACGTATCAGTCATATATGATCAATGTGCAACGTGAAATTCGTCAGTTACGCGTAATCTTGGAAAGTATTGAGGCTAAAAATAAAGAGAGGGTATGGCTCAAAAATCAAAGTTCAGGAGACGTCGATGACACAAAATTGTAAGTAAATGATGATAAAAAAAATTTTTTTTTGGAGAAATTTAGTCATTTGTTTTACAATTTGTTTTATATACAGGATCGAAGGAATTACGGGAGAAACAAATATATATAAACGTCGTGGAGAAAACGATCCTGAAATAGGATTCTTTCAAGATAAACCTAAAAAAATGTATTTTGTGTTTGATATAAGCGCCAGGTAAATAGTAATAATAATAATGGCGACTTTGTTTGCGTTCATTTTTTTCATCGAGTGCATTTCTGAATTCGTGAATTTTGCAGTATGTATCGATTCAATTCGTACGATCGCCGATTGGATCGTTCAATGGAAGTCGCGCTTAGTAAGTCTAAGAGATTGTACCACGTATTTTTGACTCGAAATAACGTGAATGTTATCGGCTATGGATAGCAAGTTTACTATATTATTTGCCATTCATTTTTTTTTTTTTCTTTTTTTTTAGTGATAATGGAATCATTCAAGTCATTTGAGTATAAGTTTCAATACCGAATTGCGGGTCATAGTGGTGAATCTCATAGTATGGAGTTTGTTAAGGAGGGAAGATATCCACATAATGAAAAAGAAACGTTCAAAGTTTTGAGGCAGATGTATATACATTCGCAATTTTGCCTCAGTGGCGGTACGTAACGATACTTGTATTTTCGATCTTCAACAACCAAAGCTGATACCTCAAGAATGCTGGAAAAACGAATTCCATACGTGATTAATAGATAATACGTTGAATGCTGCCGCCCATGCAATAAAGGACATTACAAAGGAAGAGGCTGATGATTATTTTGTTGTGGTGTTGTCCGATGCCAATATTTCGCAATATCACATTAATCCCGAGGACATTGCAAAAGGTATTAAAAGATTATGTTACATTATCACCGTTCAATACTGAACTTAACTCGTCACACTTTTATTGGTCAACCTAGTACTGAGGTCTAATGAAAAAGTCAACTCGTTCATTATATTCATTGGATCCTTGCAAGATCAAGCAGAAAAGTAAGTTCCTATCTGACTATTGCCATCGAACCCTTATTTTTCTCTATCTTTTTTTTTTTATACTAAATTTTTTTTTGTGATATAAATGCATTTTTTTTTTTTTTTTTTTTTTAAAAAAAAAAAAAGATTGAAAGCGAGTTTAGGTAGCCATGCGCACATTTGCATGGACAATAAAGACTTGCCGCAAATCATGAAATCAATATTTTTGGCTTCAATGTTGAAGGGATAGATTTTAATTAATTCTTTCTTCTATTTAATTGATTTTTTTTTAAAAAAAAAAATTCTAGAAGATTTCGTTTTTGTATCTAGTTTTTTAATTTTTGACAAGACCCTTGTTTAACAGGATGGGAAATCGCTTGGTGAGATGAGGTAAGTTTACGTGATTTCCCTTTTACTAGATTTCTATATGCTCAAAGGGTAATGATAGTGATTTTCAAGAATTATTACAAGAATTAACATAGATTAAATTAAATTAATAACGGGAAAATAGATTTTTTTTTTTCCTTGGAAACGATGTAAAAATAAATAAAAGGGAAAATGCTTTGAATACTAATGGGAAGTTCGCCCACCACTAAATGTAAGCTCCAAATAATTTTCCAACACCACTGCCATTGACTTCAAAGTATAATCTCATGGCTTCTCTCATTTCTAAATACAATCGAGTAATCAACATATCTTCCTGCATCATCAATGGCGGATTATTGAACATTGAATGTGCTTGTTTTATCTTTTGGGAAATCTCTGGTGACATGTACATTGCGAATTCATCCTTTTCAGACAACGAGAGAACAGATTTAAAGAATAAGAAATGACATACCGAACACTTCAAGTCCAAAAATAGTGTTTAAATTAACAATAATTTACCTTTGATATGGTGTCCACAAGCGCAAACCACTCTTGTGAGTATAGCATGACAATATCCGATCCGCAAAAGTACAAGAATGTGACCAGATCGACAAACATTTCCCAATACGCCACTCCACTTGGCTATCGCATATACAATATCATTAAGTTTACGTGATGAACCCGTTAATAATTGAAACGGCACTTTCATAGCCTACCTGCAGCTCCTTTTCAATGATGGTTCCAACCAATGTTTTTTTAATGCTTGGCCATATGGAATTCCAAAATTTCCTTTCAACTATCGATAAAGCGGCAGATAGTTTCTGATGCACCCTCGGTGCACCGACCACTTTGCCTTTATCTTTGTCCTGTTGATCTCTTTCTAAGGGAAGCTGAAATGGCGCCTTTACTTGCTTTTTGGATATAAGTGAACATAAGGTTGTCCAAATTTTAATCAAAACGAACGATTGATACGCCAATTCGCCGGATGGTGTGTATAGATAATTCATCTCCCCGGCCACTTCACTCAATGGATTTTTTAAAGCAAGCAACAGGAGATCCGCGATATTATCCTGAAAGTCAAAAACAGTCGTTATTGGGCTAGCTGAAGAATCGACTATCAAGGTTCCCAATAAAATCCGGTTTAAGAGGCGAACTGTACGGCGATAATCCATTGGCTAAATGGAATCGATCTTTATCAGAAACTAACTCAAGAAATATGAATAAATTAGCAAAAGCAATGAAAAAAAAAATAAACCTTTTGCCATGAGAATATCTTCGCCAGCAAATCGTAGTTTTGAATGCACATGGCTACAGCCAGGTTGCTTGAGCAGACCCCCACTTTAAAATCCTTCTTTGAATATTGCTTGGATACAGGTTGATTTTCCAAAAAGCTTATACAATCATCGAACAATTGATCCGATATATTATGAAAATACGAATGCCGAGTTGACTTGATCTCTCCGTTTATAGACAATAATGGGTTTTCCTCTTTGGAGAAGGGTGATGCGGAATCGAAAATATTTTGCTCAATAGTGCGATACCGTGGATTGGTTGAAGATTGCATATCCCACCACAACAGCTAATCATGTGTTAAAATAAGTATTGAAAAAATGATAATAAAACAGAACAGTAATAATGATAATAACCTCTAATAAATTTATCAAAGTGTCTCTATTTGTCCTAAGTCGCGAACCTCTGAAGGTAGCTTTCATCTCTTCGATAATAATTTCGCAAACATTCGTAGTTTCATTAATAGCATCATAAGCCGACAGTAATTTGACGAGCGACTCCATGGTCAAAGGGCATTTGTTGATGACTTGTTTTAAAAAGCCCCTCATGGGTTGTACTAAAATCTGCTGAAAATGGGAATACACATTAAATGCTAGAAACCATGTGATTGAGCATGAATGCGATGGAAATAAACAGATACCTTTGCGCTAGCAGAATTATTCTTCATAATCACGGAAAACATGTTAAGCACCGGGTTCACATCCCAGTCTACTCCCTTCCATTCGCTAGTGTGTTTGGCCAGTTTCGTTATGAATTGACCTAATTCTGAATGGTGTGAATGATTTACATGTATGAAAGGATTTAGCTCCTCAATAAAGATGAAATGCAAGAAATAAAGATGTCAAGAATCACTTGCCGATCATCAATTGTTCGCCGTAGGGACCCGAATAAACAAGTTCCACGTATTTGCTTAAATTAAATAGGATCGTTGAAACTATTTTTCGATTTGTAAATTTAAATAACTGATTAAATACATCTCGAATCGGTTCATCACGAAGGTAGAAAGGTTCCGAGGATTCATTTTCAGTTGGGATTTGCTGATCTTGTATTACATTCCGAAGAACTTGATACATATCGAGCTCTGTGTGATTTTCGTCGGCAACCAGTTGATTCTGTGATCATGGTTTTCAAATTGGTGTCACGAATGGCCAAAAATACGCTTGCATTAAGATCGCATGGAATACCTTGAATATCAAAACAAACAATCCATTTCGTGCAAACTTTAGAAAAGCCGTCCTCAAGAATGTAGTGGCGCTAATAACCAATGGATTGTTGGTATCATTTTGAAGTTTCGTCAAAAGTTTCCCGAGCACAATAATTTGTTTTCCAAGAATATTAACGGTTAACATGGGTGATCTCTTTAGTAATGCGGTTGCCAACTCTATGGAAAGCTGTTTGTTTTCCTCGGTGATATCTTTTTGCAGTAAATCAGAAATTTTCCTCATCACACTGATCACAGCTTCTTCTAGTTCCTTATTATACCTATCCTCGATTTTATGCTGAAAAGTGAATGCGGAAGAGATGATCGAACAGAATCAATAAATTAGTCGCAGATTGACATCAGTAACGTCACGACTTGCAAAAAGAAAAAAAAAACGAACGCAGCAGATTTTACCTTATAGATAACAATAAGAAATAACTCGATCCACACTTTCAACATAAGATGACTTAACTTTGACATATCCACCGAAGAATTAAACAAAGCAAATACGACGTCCACAAAGAATCCCCCTAATAATTCGTCCTCTTTGTCGACTGGCGACACGGTTTCCTCGGACGTTTCGCCCGTGTATTGAGGATAAATTGGCGTGTCGAGCATTCTTTTAAGATTTCCAAGGCAAGACATCATTATCATGTCTTGCGTAAAATCTTCGGGATTATACTTTAATTCTCCGTACGATAAATTGTATACTTCGTTAATTAACTCGAGCTTGCAATCAGCAAATCCCAGACTTTTTACGATCAAATACTTGAGTTTAGTAATTTGCTCTAGCGTTATATCTATGCCATTCGCCAACATTTGGAGTGCAAGAGTTAACATTACAACCTACCAATTATAATAAAGAACATTAATTAGTCAACATAAATTTAAGTTTAAGTGTGTTGATTCGGTTACCTTTAAATTTTGTTCCTCCGCGGCCCTTTGACCAGGCGTCGAATAAGCAGCTTCTTCTTGGAAATTTTTGAGACCGACAACTAGAATACTGTCAGGACGAACGTAACTTTCCTGTGGGAATTACAAAGTTCAATGACTAGAATTCATTCAGTACAGATGTAAAGAACTTTCCGCAAAACCATACCAATATTTCCGTTTCAGACACGGTTTCTGATTCATCGCTCTCTTGGTTCAACGCATCCAATAGAATATCCCATTCGATAACTAGAATAAAACGTGTTTGAATTTTTCGGATGCTCCGTGGAATTAATGAGTGCAAGATGCATCGAGCCTGGTTACCTTTCCACTTTGGAAATTTTGCATTTAGCTTTATCATAAATCGGCATAACAAGGTTTTCTCTCGATTATTGGCCACCATAAAATATCCTTCCCAACACTTGAACGCTAGACGAAGATGCTGTGGACGCATGGCTCTGATGTATGTTATGGCCTTTGTCCGAACGTATTCCTAAACGCGGTTCACATTTAATGAGTATCTCCTGATCTATCGTAAAAAAAAGTATGATGCAACTTCTCCATCCATTATCTCACCTCTCGATCCCAGAGACAACAGACAAAATAACTAAATACTGGTCCCAAATAAGCAAACACCCCGGCCCTTTGAACCTCAAATTTTTCATCGAGTTTGGAAAACAAGCTATACAAATTGTCGAGGCCATCAAATCTGTAATAAAAATTCTTGGTCAGTAAAAACTTCAAAAGATAGGCCGCCAAACCACCTGATAATCTCACCTTACTTCCCAGCTTTGATGTTCAAACACCTTGCTGATAGAAGCGAGAAAGAAATGAGAATCAGCCCAGATCATCCTTATCAACAGGGGCATCGTTATGCTTGAGGAAAAATCATTTATCGGAGCAAGTTCTTCCCAAACACTAAATAATCGATAGACATAAAAATGATGTAAATTATCATCAAGCTAGCGTCGGTGGTTCTTACCTAGGTAATAATTTTGGCACGCTGTTGATGATGAATTCATTCTTATTAAATATAAGTCCCGCTGTCGTAAAAAGTTGCCAAGACGATTTGACCACATCTCTGCGAACTTCAAGCTTCTCGAATCTTGCATATTCTAACAGATATTGCATCAAGGACGATTCCACCGTAATATTAGCGCCTTGAGTTGGATCCGGAATATTGGAGATTCTTTTGGGAATGCTGAAAATTTTTTAAGTAAAAAAAAAATGGAGGAGGATCAGTAGAACCGTTTAATAATAAAAAGAAAAATTCAAACTAACCGATAATTGGCGAAGACAGTACCTTTGTTGTGAGGGTCGATCCGGAGGTAAGTCCACTATCCCCATATTATATATATTGTCCAGCGGACAACTGTACGAATAAAGAGCCAAAACCAAAGAGAGTTTGACAAAAGAACGTGCACTGTTTGAATTAAACGCCGATCAGCATCACCTCATGTGCCCCAATGAATGTGGAATACAATCGATAGGCCTAAATACCTGGAAATCTCAGCACCATAGCCTTCTTCGTTAACCTTCTTGATCATAGCAAACGCGGTCTTATTCACATCGGACACGAATTCCAGTATGACTCCCCGAGTAATCAAATGGCCCAAACCAATTATGACCTGGTGCCACATCACTTGCAAAAATGTTGTGCACCGTTCGACAGACGGTGGGAACTTGGTAAAGAATGAAAAAAAATCCGAAAAAATGAAACCCCTGAGCCCGACCCTAGAATCATCGTAAGTCTCGGTTAATACAGTACAGCTTCTAATCATCAACATTTGGATTTGTGCATACCCCGAGCGTACTATCAGATCCATCCATTGCAAAACTCTGGTCAATTGGTACTCATCATTTCCTTCAAATATTTGAGTGATCATCTCGAGCGGATCCGAAATGACATTATCCAGCGATGAAACTGGCTGATCCGACGACGAGGCAGATCTCTGGGAGGTTTTTATGGTGCTGAACATTTTGTGCAACGTTTTCAATTCCACAAAGACCTTATAACAATGAGGAAAAAGTTTGATCAGAATAAGTACAGACCACCAAATGTAAGAAAACAATCGGCAAGATAATAAGAATACCTTTTGTTGATGTTTTAACACGAAACATGCATTGTCCAACCAACGCGAAATGACATCGTTACAGGATGAAAAAAGAAGGCCAGAATTATATAGTTTTATGATAAACTTTAGCACGTTGTCATAGTCCCGAAATAAATTTTCCTGGGTGATTGAAACAAAAGTTGAGTACGTTGAATATAGCAACCGAGGAAATCACTCCACCCAAGATTTTAAGCGTGCATTCACTCTTTGGCTTACCGAATCGTCATCCGACTCCTCGCGCTGTCTTCGATCTTCGTATACTCTCCACACCTGCTCGTATACTATGTCACAAAATAATTCACCATCCATGTCCCGAATTGTTGACATCCACTTCGAGACATAGTTCTCCTTTAGCATCTGACGGCTCAAAAGGTATACCCCTCCGCCAGAAGTGTTAGGAACATATGACGACATCCTTTGATTGGAATGACCGAGATCACCGCGTTTCTCTTCTACCTCTAAACGAACACCCGGAGGTTTGTGGTGCGAGGAGGTATATTCTTTGGCGATTAGAACCAATCTCTCGTCCTCGTCACAGACCCATTCAATAATGGAATAGATTAACCGTTCCAGCACATATTTCGACAAATAAGGGTCCGGCCAACAACGTCTTGTCATCAGGAGGAAACCACACTCATTAACTGTTACATTAACATCCGACAAGCACGCGGAAATTGAAGCAACCAAGGTTTCTACCGTAGGAGAACATTCGTTCGCAAATGGCAATGGAAATAAACATTCGTGACCATTTATTCCCTCGATGTTTGCATCATCAAATAATATTGGGTACCCGTCAATTCTATCCAAGAGGCCATAATTGGCCATTTGTTGCAAAAGGATTTTCGCGGAAAAGTCGCTATGAAATCCCAATTGCTTTCTCACCCACATGATCAGCTCCTTGGTGTTTAAAATTCCATCCGGGGATACAACATTATTGTCTGCCGAAGGCATCAGGTTGGCTACTAATGCGTTGACACTCAAATGAACATCGGTCAGTTCGGATTCAATTCCAAATTTAATTACTGAAGCTAAATGAGTCAGATAATCTTCACTAGAAATTATCCACAAATCGCATCTTCTGCGAACCCCTTCCCAATATTCGTTAGATCTCGATGTCAAAAAAACCTTCCCATTCTCGAGGTACGACTCGTAAAGAGCGATGGCTTCCTGGAGTTCGAACTTTTCGAATCTTTCGCTTTTCGATGACAGTGGATTTTGAAACTCGGGTTTTATCATCAAACAACCGGCCAGCAACCCATTGTTCAATATATTGTTCTGCATCTGAAATATTGTAGCCATGATCGACAATTCTTCGTAGTTGTACGTTAAAATTCTTTCTTCGGAAATCAGGATTGGGTCATAATAGCTCTTGAAACTCTCACGTAAACTTTCGTGATCAATCAATGCATCACTCTCGCTTAGGAAAGATCGATGGCAAGGTACATCTGTTTCCAAACTCTTGGATTTTAAGCAAGAAGAATGTATGAAACGGTTACAAGTCGCACACCTGTAACCTTGATGCATAATGCCCCACAACGGCAATCGACATATCATACACAAAGTCAGGGTAAAGAGGTTGATGAGGTGAAAGGTGTGTCCACAAATGTACGCTGAAATGATGTTGGCGTGAGAGTCAGCAGTCTGATTGTTAATTGAAGTTACTTCTCTGGGTCCGTGCATAAGATTGCTATATCTTGGCGTCGACATTTTGTGAACCCCGGACTCTGATGAATATTCGGTTAAAAATCCGCCATCATCCGAATTATAGCATTCGAAATGCAACCCCAATTTGCAGGTGTTACATCGCAATCCAAACCCAACGACGGGCTTGTGACATTGAAAACACGAATTTGAAACATCAGCAGGCGAAGAGAGTTGAGCATTTTTATTATTCACAATGATTGATGAATATTTGTCGTTATTATTTTGTCTCTTGTTTAAAAAATGATCGGAGAATATGTGCGAGTACAATTGGTGATTGTGAACTTTTGGCGGCGAATAATCTTCGACGCCACTCTGAAGATTTTCGTGTGCTCTTAGGTGTTCGGAATATTTCATGGCGAGCAAATCCTCACCGATCGACGGAAGTCCAATGCTACTCCCCCAAAACGAGAAGAGCATACACGTAGCCAGCATGCGGCTAGCGGGATCGCCGTGAGCCATTATTTCTATTATGTCGAGATAGAGATCGGGTTTTTGCAGTATCATAAGCCCCAACGTTTTATTCATTTGGTACAATGTTTCCAAAGAAGAATCCTCGATTGTAACGAATTGAACCATCGAAAACAAAAGCGGTGTAAACATGGAATCGATATAATAAGCATCAATGTTGAATTCCCCGGTATATGAGATGGATAATTTCTTCGATAAAATCCTGGCCGCTTTTCGCCTATGACTGATGCTCTGTTCGTCGTCGGTCAAATCGACGTCGGATAAAGATGCACCATCAGAGTCCGACAGATGAACCTCAATGGCTACGGGCGGTGTGACCTCCTCTTCCTCATCATCTATGGTTATATTGATGTGCGGCGATTTTTCCTTGTTCGCCAATGAAATTCTGTCGTCGCTCATGAGCTGTAAGGAATTGTCGCTCCGAAAAGCTCCCGTCTTTCTACTACCCTTGAGGTTCCCCGGGTTCTTGAATGACATCAATTGTGGAATCAGAAAATCACCATAGAACTCCAACAATCGTGAGCGCATCGAATCGCCAAAACAATTGAACCCTTGTATCATGGTCATGCCAAGTTCATACAGCCATGCAGGCGAATTAGGATTTTGATTTATCAAAAGGTGTGCCACATCAATGACAATGGCATGCAAAGCGTACGGTGGTCGTAGCGGTCTAGGATTGAGAACTTTGTAGCGACAGTCGTTCTGAACGATGTCATATAACACTGCCAGTATGTTTTCGAGTATTCCGGATCGTTTTTTTCGGTACGGGTCTCCCCGCGAACGGGATGATTCGAGCGACGAGAGTGACCTTTTTTGTATCAATTTGGGGAAAAAGAGTGACAGAAAGAATTGCCATAGGGATCAACTCTCGATGTTCCATCGTTATCATATTGAAGAATGAAGAGAAATCCTACTTGTCTGCAAAGTTGATTCCTTGCAAATCGCACACTACCAAAACATCTTTTAACTGGTTCAATAAGTCGCATGTGTGTTCCGTATTGTAAGTGTTACGATTTTCATCATCCGCTCGGGTCACGAATAATGATGGTGGTGGTTTCTTCCTTTTCCTCAATTCCGCAAGAATCTTGGTGATGAGTTTCCTGGTCTGATCGATTTTTGGAAGAAGAAACACCCCCGCTCCTCCTTGTCTCGGCGGTCTGTGCGGATTATTCTCCTGATAACCGACATCTTCTGAGTTCATTGTCGGTTCGGTTTGAGTTGAATTTTTGTATGCACTCATTATATGATTACGATCGTTACACGGATGTTAATCAATCCCGTCCGATTCTTGTCGATACACGTTTTCAAAAAAAAAAAAAAAAAATGAACGATCGGAATAATAACCAAACATTCCATCTCGGCAGGATCACTCGGATTGCGTGTGCGGTTTTAATCTGAGAGAATACATTGCTAATAAATGATGTCAAAAGTGTATGCAAAGAGTGCACCGTGATACGGCGCTTATAAAAAATAATATACAGTGTAAAAACGATTTATTATGTCGAATAAGCACTTATTTAAATATACTACAAATTACTATTTCAAAACTTTTTAGCCTTTTTTTTGGGAATTTTTAATATTATAACAATCATAAAACATACATTGTACAGTACTTAAATATAATTCAATTACATAACTAATGTGTTCCACACATGTAAGTCTATCCAATAAGAAAGAAAATCTATTGTTCTATTCTATGTCTAACTTTAACATTATGACTTTTGGTCCTTAAGCCCGTGGTAACAAAGTGCAACATCTCTTCATCCTGACCCGGGATATCTTGGAACTCATATCTTGACACTAGTGCCACTATCGTTAGTCTCATTTCCACCCGTGCGAAACTAAATAAAATCAAAAATAAATATTGGTTCACTGCATTTCATAAGGGTTCGCGCTACCAAATCACTTACTTTGATCCAATACAATTTCGGGATCCTTGAGGGGTAAAAAAAAAAAAAAAGAAAGAAAGAAAATGTCAACTTTTATCATTATACTGACAGACGTTGGGTGACTTGACCAAGAGTTAAATTTTCATACCGGCCGAAAATGGAATGAACCCATCTGCGGGTATGTTTTCCGGATTCAACCATCGCTCCGGGATGAATTCATTTGAATCCTCTCCCCAGTACTCCTTTGAGCGATGCACGCCAAATATGTTTACGGTAAGCGACGTCTGAGAAATAGTTTAAACGCTGGCGCGTAAATAAATTTTCTCGCGATCGATAAAAAAAGTAAATGCGATATAATGAATACTAACGCCTTTTGGAATTAAATATCCTCCTATAACGATGTCCTCCGTAACCAATTTTCCAGGCCCTTGATAAATTGGATATAGATGATTAGATTAAAATAAAGGACGTAATACATACGAACCAACGACAATAACAAAGGGCAAATCCTCACCGAAATCTAATAAAAAAGCAATTTCGAATTTCGAGTTAGAAAGTAACAATAAATTCGAAAAAGCAATCAAAAAAAAGAAAAAAGTCCAAATACCTCTTGTGGAGGGATAAAGCCTAAGACCCTCATTAATGACAGCATTTAAATAGGGTAAATTTTTTAATTTATCGTGTGACGGAACCAATCTTCTTTCCGAATCTTCTTCCTTTGACAATGCATCATCAAGTTCTTCCACCAGTTTCTTGAACACGTCAGGGTGTCGGATTAACTCCAACATTGTCATTGATGTTGCAAAGTTTGTCGTGTCACTTCCGGCAATTCTAGTTATCATAAGAAAACGAAAGAGGAACATCAAATGGTAAGACAAAAATTTTGTTCGCATGGGTTTATTTAATGAACAAAGAGGATTCTTAAAAAAGACTCACAAGAATTCAATGCATTGATCGAAAACTTCGAAATCCGACAAACCACCATCAGTCATATTCTTTGTATCCAACAGTACTTGCAACAAATCTTTCCTCGTGGAGGTCGATGCTCTACGTTCCTCTATGATTCTTGACGTGAACTGTCAAATTGTTTTTTTTAAGAAACATGTTATTTCAAAATGAAGATTCACAGCGATTTAAAGTACAAACAGAACCCGAACTTACATCTATGAGATAAGGATCAACTTTCAAAAATGAACCAAAGATGGGAAACGCCGATTTCTGAAATTTTATGAAACGCTCAATTAATTTCTTTGAGATATTAAAAATAAACAAGTCTGACTCACGAGCACCACTGACCAAGACTCTTCTTCTCAACTCTTGGAAAACCTTTCTCGGCAAGGGATGATTTCCCTCTCTCACCAACTTGAATGAGCCGCCAAACGCCGTTTCCCCAATTATGTCCTATGCATGTTTCATAAGTAATGTGAGTAAAATAGCACGAGGACAACACATTAAAAATGGTAGAAATATGAAACTTCCTGATGAACGGAGAATTCGAATTTGAAAAAAAAGGCACCCACCAATGTGTTCAGTTGGATCAATTTATAAATATCAATGACTGTATCATTCGATTTGGTTTGTACTATCATCTCGTCAATTTTAGTCACCAGATCTTGACAACAGGTGCACATAAAATTTTCGAGTAACGAAATGTGTTTCATGGAAAAAGCTGACGAAAGAATGCGACGCTAAAAGTATAATGACAATGAATAATTGTAACCATCTCGTTCAGCAATTCTTGAGAAGTCATAATTCAAAATAAAGTCGAACTATTTCCAATCGCTTACTCGGTTTTTATGAAACTCTTTGTCCCTGAAAGGTCAAGTTATTTTAAAGTTACTTCCAATATCGTTCACATACGCCACGGACAAACGAAGCGATGAATGACAAACCTCGTGGTGAATAGCGTTGAGTAATTTTTGTCAACCCTCATTCTATCATAACTCTCGCTTTTTGGTAATTCCTAGAAGACGCACGATTAATATTTTCAATCCATTTATTTTGCACGATCATTTGCCACGCCACCTACATTTGTCACCAGAATCTGCATGCATAAAAAAAATATGTGTGTATCTCAAAGTATTATTATCACACAATAATTGATAGACGATAAGATTTCAAAGGTGGTGGTTACTAATTACCTGCTTGACCATATCTTTGTCCGAAACCACAATCATTTTTGGCCCTTCAAATGATTATTAGGAAATATTGTGATTAGAAATGGGCACCGCTGACGAAATTAAAGATCAAATCGAAAACCTACCGACTCGGACCAATGAACCATACTTTGGAACAATTTCGTATTGCAACCATTTCCACCTAGAAAAGAAATATTCAAGTTAAGGAAACACCTTCATTAAGGAAACATTAACTTATCTGATCGAAATATCTGTACACATACCTTTGGCCATTTATCTGTCTTACGGTGATAAATAGATTAGACAAAAAGGTTACCTTTGGCCCGGGGATTTTGCTAAGGGGTCCAAAGTAGGCAAGAAGGATTGTCTGATTATGAAAAGAAAATGGTGAGATTTCCAAAACGTTGGAATTCACGTGACAAAAATACTTACGTCGTAGATATATTTTAGTCCATAAAGTAAGACGATTATCTTCACCAGTTGAATTCCAACTTTGAAAATATATTCGAAATACATGTTTCGTTATCGGTGACAGATGAAGGAATGACGAAAAATTCAATTAAAAAAAAAAAAGATAGGATGTGCTTAATATATATATATATATAGCCATCTCATTGTTTTACGCTCTATTCCTGGAAAATCATATTGCCAAAGTAAAAACATTAGACAATAAAGTAAAATTACGGGAATCTATTTTATTATGCGAGAACAAAGGCTCTTAGAATAATCACATCACGCCTTATTTGTTTTCGGTCTTTGTAACAGCAAAATTCGTTGAAGGATCGTTTCAGTATTTTGTTCTTTGTGTGCCATGGATCTGTATTACAAGGTTTGTCATCTTTTTTATGTCCGATTTGTCCTATTCGATTCTCGAAAAGCATGGTGATTTTGTAATACCGATAGCAGTTCGTTTAAAACATCAAAAGTATCACAATTTTAACCTATGCATTCCCTCGATGCATGTCTTTGGTTCCGAAGCCATTGTGAAACATTGCTTAAAAGGATTGTTAATGTGCATATAATAAAAAGAATCCTGACAACAAAAACATGGCATCCATCCATCCAAGTCTCAACTTTCGCGCGAATGGTCGGACACAAATTGTTCCGGTGAAATACAATGTTTAAGGCAGACCATACCTTGCGTTCGGAACCCTGGCAAATAACAAGCTTCATTCGTAGTAGATAAATTACACAGATAAAATTAATGCCTTGTCTTAATTAATTTCCTAATTGGAAGTTAAATGAATATGCGTGATGACTTTGCGTCATTCAATACATACTGTATACGTACAGTGCGCTCCGCAGAAAATTCTGTTGTCTCGAAACGGGGTGCCACTAAAATTTTAAGTTTGGTAACAATAACTATACAACCAACTTGCATTAATGAACCCCCATTATCATTCCTCAGATTAAACGTCAAAATAAGGAGATACTGTACGTGACATTCTATCTTTCTTTAAATAAGGATTGTTGTCCTTACGACTATTACGCGCGCAAATTTAACGTTAGAAACAGGTAAACCCCACCGTCAAACACCGGATTAACTGTTTGATTTTATCCACCTGTAGATATAATACAATACAATAGTTCTTACACCTTGACTCATTACAGGGGAATCGCAAATAAATGATTAATCAAACAAACAAATTATAGGCCTAAAAATTCAACAATACGAACTTTATGCATAATACGAATCGTTTTATTACACAAAAAAATTTTTCTCGCAATTTTTTTATTCGCCGATCGTTCGTATTCAGATTAGACGATCAGGCGTGTTTTCTAATTTCCGACTCAAAGTCATACAACCAACCAACTCTGGACCTTTGGTTCTACATGGCGGCGGTAAATTCAATTGTTAAACCACGAAAATGAATGTTGGAATATTCTTTAAGATAATGCTTACGGATTTAATATTATGTCTACAAATTTGATTGCGATAAATTGATTGCATTTTTATTTTTCGTTTATTCGGGGGATTTTTTTTTTTTATTAATATTATTTTATTCTCGGAATTTATATTTTGGTTTTAAATTTTTCATGACCAGTCGTTCGATTTTAGTATTATTATTACCGTATTTCTCGGCAAACAGTACCCCGGATTTCTTACATATCAGAACAAAAGTAGTTCAACATTAAAAAGTAGTGATGGATACTCTATCGAGGGAATACTATTTGATAAGAAACATGCAAATAATTTTTTTATGATTTTACTTCTTTAATTATACTGTATCATTATTCTCAACCTTATTCTCTCATTCATTCTTCAAAAATTGAAATAAATATCATGGGCTATTGCTGATAGTCTTTTGTTGCTTAAAAATAATATTTTTATTGTCGATTAAAATATACCATTTGTAAAAATAAATCTCTTGTAAATTAAATTTCCAATTAAAACTCATACAAAATAATTGACTATATTAATTTAAAATTTTTAAAATGAAAATTTCAAAAAATAATAAAATCAATTGTTAATTTTTTGTAATATCCATAGCCAAGGTTATATTGTTAGTTTATTAATCAAGTGAATGTATAAGTGCATTTTCATTTGAGTAACATCATACTTTCAAGGTCTCATTTCTTATAATTTCTTCTTGATAAGAAATATCTTATTAAGAATATTCTTTCTTCTCTTGATTATCTAAAAGATTTATTTATTTTTGATCTTGATTTTTTTATATACTATCTAAAAAGATTATTACTTATTAAAAATCTTTATTTCTAGAAATATACTTAATATTAACTTGCTTTAAACAATGATTTTGTGTTTATCTATAATAGATTAACAATTTATAATAGATCTCAAATTCTTATATTATTTAATAAGAATTAAACTATATTGTCTTAATATAATATTTTCTAATAATCATTTTTAGTTAAAAAAGTTTTATGATAAATATTTTTTATTATTCAAAAAATAAAATTCTTTAATATTTCTTTTGACTAGTAGTAATATAAAAACTTTTAATTCAAAAAAAAACAATAATCTTTATATATGTATAAAATAGAATCATTAATTCTATAATACATAATAATTCTATTTTAATTCTATAATAAATCAATCTTATTAATTACTATTAAAATATTATAATTTTATTACATTTCTATCTTTTGAAATTTTTAAAAATTAATTCAATCATATATATAATAAAAATTTTAATCAATTACAATATTTTTAATAACTTTAAAAAAATATATTTTTAATTATAATTAAAAAATTAAACTATAATATAATTTAAAGATCATATGGTATTATTGCTAACTAAAATGAAAAAAATCTTGATTTTAAACTTTACTTAATTGAAATAATAGAAAAAAAAATGATTTCAACTTAAACAAATAACAATTTTTTTATATTTAAAAATCTATTATTTTAATTTTATTGATTTTATAAACTTAAGATATAGATTAATTCAATAAAAAAAGTGAATCAAAAATTAAAAACTATTAATTCTTTTTTTTATTAATAATATTATTGAGATATATATTATAATTAATAAAACTTATTTATATTTTATTATCAATAATTTTCATATTAATAAATTGTTTTTAATAATGTTAATTAATTTATAGCATTTCAAAATTTGAAATCAAATTGAAATATATAAAACTTTTCAAGAAAACTAAAAAATAAGTGACTGTGAAAAAATAAAACCAATGAACAAAATAGTTTTAAAAATTAAAAGTTTTGTTTATCTATTTTTCTACCATATGAAATATTTACATATATTCTTACTTCAAAAAAGATTTTTAATATTATACTATTAATTTTTTTCTTTTTTCAACTTATTATATTTAAAAATGTATTTTTTGACTTTTTTAATTATCAAAAATCAAGTTTATATATAAA